AACAGTGCTAGAATTAGATCACCTCTCGACTTGTCCGATGCCAGGGAATGAGTTTGTGCCTTTATTTCATCAGACGGGACTGTCCTGTCATGGCTACAATACAGCTTGTGCAAAATGAAGCTGCAAGGATTCTCATAAAATAAAATGAAATCAGTCCTGTGTGGGTTTCAATGCCCTGGCATCAAGTATGTTATTGATCTTAAACTGAGTTTGCCTTTTCTGGTTTTGTAAGGTCTTACAGAGGGGAAAAGGAATTGTGAACTCCCACAGGTCAAACAGTGAAATATGTTTCCTTGCTGGGTTTAGTCGATTCCTTTACTCTCTCAGTAAGCCACCAGTCTTCCTATGTGAATTACTGAAGGCAGCTAAACTGTATGTCTTCTATCTTGGCAGAATGACCATGACATTATGATTTCACTGATTTGTTCCATTTTTGTAGTCTTAGAATTGCTGCACGAGCACTGTGGGGTCTGTATTAGGATCCTAAGGCAAAGGGCTGTTGTACTTTGTTTAAAAAAATTGTTCAGGAGAAGGGACCTTAAAATTTGAAACTGGGATTGGATTTAAGAAATTATTTGAATATTTACTTTTTGCCTTTGAAAGCTACAGTGAAAGGTGAATAATACCTCCCTGGTTGACTATGGCAGCTAAGCTGCGATTAGTTCTTAGGTGAAATATGGAGCTCACGACCCTGTCCCTGTTTAATCCCAGTGTGGAATGAATTTAATCATGTTGTGAATGTCTCCATGCCCTGAGAAGAATTGGAACAGAATCTGGTCTGTCGATCCTGGATGTTCCAGTTTCACCTCTGTTAGTGTTATTGGTTTAAGTCCCTGTAGTAACATAGCAGACCTGAATGTGTCCATAGAAATGCACACCTTTTCTCTCTAAATGTATGGGACATTTCAGTAAAATAAAGGCCTGCCTTCCATAACCTTGTCGTCTCTGACTAAGACCTCCTCAGAAACTTCATTGGTGCTCCTTGCTGAATTCCATCATCATGAATACTAACATGATGTATTTGTGATGCATTCTTGCATCTCGCCATTTGCCTGTAATTGAATGCGACAGTGACGCTATTCTGGACAAACTCAGAATGCGGAAAGTTCAACATTCTATTTAATTGGGAAACAGACCAGGAGGACCAGGGAAATGTTACACATCAAGATGGATATACATAGTAAGATGCTGCAAAATCAGCTTTTGTTTTCTTTTTATAGTGTTCTGTCTTAGCCAATATTAATAGTATTTTTTTTAATGAACGCCATCTTAAATAGTAGAGATGACAGTTCTAAATAGCCGTCCAATTTATTCTGAAACTTGATTTGTTGTGGGTAAATGTTTGTCAGGATGTAGTGATTGCCCAGTTTGGGTACCTGCTTAGACCGTAGTTGTGACATACCTTTGTCAAACATACAGACAGAAAAATGTCCTTTGAAGTTATAGTGAAGGCTGACAAACTGGAAAATTGGCTACACAAGGCTGACACAGCAACTTTACTGGATGTATGTTCTGACAGCCTCTTCCATGTACTGTATGTAGCAGGTCAAAGAGGTTATCCTCTACAAACTTGTTTTAGTTGATGATGTGAGAATAGTAACCCATTTCTTGCTGATTTATTGTCTTTCAAAGAACAGGGATCACACACAGATTTTTTCTTCATGGATGATCTATTAGTTTTGCTCTGTTATCTCACATTAATTGGTAAAAATGAAGACATAATTAAAAGCTTTGCACTTTTGAGAACCAGCAGTCATCAGGATGATGTTTCTGTAACACTAAAGGCTTTGTTCTGATACCGGTCTGTGCTAACAGAAGATTTCCTTTCTGATTCTTGTTCCTAAAATGTCCTTTATTAAAGGTGCTCTGTTTTAAATACATGCCAGTTTTTTTCAGTAAAGAACAACAGTTCAGTTACTGAAATCCTCACCAGTGCAGTAGTTGTTTTATACCTATCATTCATCCATATACTGTAAGTCCTGATGCACATTGTCAGACCCTCACAAATTATACCAGGAATTATAGGATAATAATGTTTTCATTATGGCTTTACTTGACATCTTTTCTGCTGTGCCAGCCCCTGCAAATCTTTTTCATGGAAAGTTGATTTGTGTGCTCTCTGCTTTTCAAAAGAAAAAAATGGTGACATGTTGCTTGCTTCGCTTCAGTTGATTCGGTTGGCCTCAAAGCGTCCCAGATGGCATCCGGATCCATTTTGAAAAGGCCAAGGAATCATGCCCTGAAAATTGAGCTTAAGCCAGACTGCGTCAGCTGCTCGTACCCATTGCTATGCAGCCACCAAGCTGCAATATGCAGTAGCTTTATAGGTAGAACAATGTTTCTTTTGGAACATAAAGGGGCTCCGTTAAATCAGCCACTTACTCTGCTAATCTCACGCTGTGTTACCAGGCAAAAATGTTTTTTTATTACAGCAGTGACCCTGTAACTCACCGCAAATGTAGAGCTGCAAGCCTTATTTCTAAGAAATAAGTAGATGAGAAACTTAATAAGGAACAGGGTCGTTGTATGTTCAAAAACATGCATGCTAAGCTTGTGAATCAAAGTCTTTTTAATATAGATGATTCTTGTGAATTGTTTGGTGTATTTAACCGGTTAAATATTCTTAATAAGTAGATGCTTTTTATGTTACATTTATCCCTTTTTATTTCTGGACTTGATGGAGATCTGTCATTGTCGGGAAGAAGAGATATTTCTCCTGTGACACTGACATTCTTAATTCTTTAATTTGTTCTGCATTGTACATATACAGTTACCCACAATTTATCCATGGCCTTACCATCTCCAGCCAAATTTGTTGTGTGGATGCTTGCTCTTAATGTTCATCAAGTTCAATGTTGTTATTTCTCCTTTCTTAAAGAAAATGAACACTGAAGGATAATAGAAAGCTTATACAGCAACACATTTTAATAAAAATCTGCTACCTTGAATATGCAACCTTTATTTCATATGTTTTTCAAAATGTGTTTTCGAAAAATGTCTGGATTCTGCAAATACAAAAAATGATCTTTTGTGTAATCTAAAAGGTGCTGTAACCAAGTTATCAAATAATTACACGTTTCTTTAGAGGAATTGTCCTAATATATTGTAATGCTACATGACCAGCAGCCATATCACTCTGCAACTAACAATTGGCAACCCAATGAAGCTCAGCAGGTGTGAGCCTGGTCAGTACAACTAAAGTTGATGCTGGAAGAGATGTTAGTGGGACCAGCAAGGGGTGTTCACCCTGTGGTCTATGTGGGTCATAATGTTCCAGTATAGTGACAGGGACACTATACTGTAAAAAGGCGCCATC